TCGATGTGCCGGGCATGACACCGAGGAGTGTACCCACTTACGCCAATTGTTGGAAGACCTGCTCAACCTGGGAAAATTGGACAAGTGTGTGGGGAAGAGAGAGGACAACAAGAAGAATGCCGATCGGAGAGATCATAGGCGTTCTCATCACCGCTCCGATCGGTCAGGTCAGGACCGAAGAGACGACCGAAGGGACGATCGTCATGATGACCGACGGGACCCTGACCCTCCGTCCGGTAGCCGCCCGTCCGGAAAGCCTACCATCCACGTCATTTTTGGTGGGCTGGAAGATGCTTCCCGACCGCGGACTAATTGCCCGGTCGCAATACTGGATTCCCGGGAGACCGGGAAGAGGCAGAAGATGGAGCCCATAACCTTCACCCTCGAGGACCAACCTACCAGCAGCGACCACGGCATGGAGGCGCTCGTGGTCACGATTGACGTTAAGGGGACGGACGTCCAGAGGGTTATGGTTGACACGGGCAGCAGTGTGAACGTCTTATACTTGGACGTGTTTGAGAAGCTCGGCCTCGACAGGAAGGAGCTGACTCCGGTCGGTGTACCACTGTCAGGATTTACCGGGGCTCTTATTTACCCCGAGGGAAAAATAACGCTCCCGGTCGAGATCGGCACACCTCCAAAGTCGATCCAAACGGAGCTAGAATTTGTTGTGGTCAACCTCCACTGCGTCCACAACATTATCTTGGGCCGACCCGCCATCATGAAGATTGGTGGGATAATCTCTATGCCCCACCTGTGCATGAAATTCCCCACCCCTAACGGGGTCGGCGTGGTCCGTGGCGATGTCCAATCCGCCCGGAAGTGTTACACCCGAGCGGTCAATAGACGTGACTCCGGTCCATCTTCCCGGGTGAACACCATAGCCAAAGAGGAGGCTAAGGATCGGAAGGAACAACCTGAGCCTTCCGGAGAAATTGAAGAAGTTCCCCTGTCCGAGGACCGCCCGGACAGGAAGATAAAGATTGGTCGAGCCCTCACCCCCGAGATCCGAGCGGAAGTTCTGGCCGTGCTCCGGGAGTATGCTGATATCTTCGCGTGGGGGCCCGAAGACATGCCAGGGATCGATCGATCGGTCATCTGTCACAAGTTGGCCGTCGATCCCGCAGCTAAGCCGGTCGTGCAGAAAACACGACACCTTTCCTCCGATCGCCGCGAATTTGTCAGGGAGGAAGTCAAAAAGATGGCGGCGATCGAGCACATCCGTCCGGTGATCTATCCCGAGTGGGTGGCAAATATCGTTCTTGTTCCTAAGCCCCCAGCATGGAGGATGTGCATCGATTTCACGGACCTCAACAAGGCCTGTCCGCTCGACCCGTATCCTCTACCGAGCATTCACCAGATGGTCGACGAGACGGCCGGGGCCGAGTTAATGAGCTTCATGGATGCTTTCAAGGGGTACCATCAGATCATGATGCACCATGAAGACGAGAGCAAGACAGCCTTCGTGACCCCGGATGGGCTGTATTGTTACCGAGTGATGCCGTTCGGTCTCCGGAACGCAGGAGCGACCTACCAGAGGATGGTCAACATGCTCTTTGCCGACCTACTGGGCCGAACAATGGAAGCTTACATCGACGATATGCTGGTCAAGAGTCGGGACCGGTCCGACCACACTCGGGACCTTCGGGAGTGCTTCCAGATCATGAGGAAGTACCAGTTGCGGCTGAACCCGACCAAGTGCACATTCGCGGTTCAGACCGGCAAGTTCCTCGGCTATATGATGACCAAGAGAGGAATCGAGCCTAACCCGGCCAAAGTAAAAGCGATTCTGGACATGCAGCCACCTTCCACCATACGGGAAGTCCAGCAATTGACCGGTCGGTTGGCAGCCCTCAGCCGGTTCCTCTCCAAGCTAGCCGAGCGCGCTTTACCTTTCTTCAAGGTATTGCGGAAGGTTAATGGATTCGTCTGGGACGAAGAATGCCGAGCGGCTTTTGATGAGCTGAAGGAATATCTCATGTCACCGATCGTGCTCTCAAAGCCTGAGCTCGGAGAAGAGCTAGACGTGTACCTCGCCGTGTCCGATCGCGCAGTAAGCGCAGTGTTGTGCCGAACCGATCCGGAAGGGGTCCAGCGACCGGTGTACTATGTAAGCCACGCGCTACATGGTCCCGAGCTCCGGTACTCCCGGCTAGAGAAGGTCGTCTACGCCTTATACATTGCCGCGAAGAAGTTGGCTCCCTACTTCCAAGGTCGAGCAATTCGCGTGTTGACCGATCAGCCGATCGGGCCAGTCCTCCGAACTGCTTCATCATCAGGTTGCCTAGTCAAATGGGCGTTAATGTTGACACAGTACGCGATCGAATACCGACCAAGACCAGCTATTAAAGGTCAAGCTCTTGCGGACTTCTTGGTTGAGTGCACCGCCCGGGATACCCGGCCTCCTGAGGTTGCGGATCCCGAGGCTGAGTGGTGGTCACTAGCTACTGATGGGTCAAGTAGCAAGAAAGGAGCAGGAGGAGGAGTGGTGGTCACGAGCCCGGAAGGATTCAAGGTCTACTTTGCTCTCATGTACCAGTTCCACCCGACCAACAACGAAGCCGAGTACGAAGCGTTCGTTAACGGCTTACAGTGCGCTCGGGACTTGGGGGCTGAGTACATCCGAGCTCAGACAGATTCCGCGCTCGTGGTCGGGCAAGTTCTCGGGGATTATGAAATCAATGGAGAACATCTGCAGCTTTACCGAAATCTTGCCATGGAGAAGCTTGCTCAGTTCCGGGGGTATACCGTCCGACACATACCCCGATTGGATAACGCCGATGCAGATATCTTATCCAAATTAGCTCAAGACGCCCCGGAACATATGTCGAAGATAGCTCGGATCTTGGTGATCCCGAGACACAGTATTCACCGTCTACCGGTCAATCCCATCCAACCGGTAGATGACAATTGGATCACCGATCTGAAGGAGTACCTCGAGCACGGTCGCCTCCCAGACGACCCGCAGCGTGCTCGGAAGGCCAAGCTAAGAGCCCCAAGGTTCCAAGTCTTGGACGGTCGTCTACATAGGCGATCGTATGGAGGCCCCCTCATGCGTTGCTTGACCGCATTTGAGGTTGATTTAGTCATGAAGGAACTCCACTCGGGAATTTGCTCTTCACATCAGGGAGGCCGATCCCTGGCCCGTCGTATCATGCTGATCGGGTACTATTGGCCGTCCCTCCAGCTGGACTGTGAAAAGTTAGCTCGGGAATGTGAGACGTGCCAACTGTTCGCCCGGATGCCTGGACGACCGGCAACCTTCTATCAGCCAGTCACGACTGCAATTCCTTTCGCTAGGTGGGGGGTAGACATATTGGGCCCCTTCCCTCAGCTCTCCGGTCGGAGAAAATTTGTGATCGTCGCCATCGATTACTTCTCCAAGTGGATAGAAGCCGAGCCTTTAGCCACGATCACCTCTCAGCAATGTGCTCGTTTCCTTTGGCGAAATGTGATTTCCCGCTTTGGTGTGCCCGTGCATCTCATCAGCGACAATGGCCGCCAATTCGTAAGCCAATATTTCCAGAACTTCTTGGCCACGATCGGGACGACTCACGTCCGGTCGTCGGTGGCTTACCCTCAGGGAAACGGTCAAGTGGAGAACGCGAACCGGACGATTTTGGAAGGTCTGAAAAAGAAGTTACACTCGGCTGGTCGTAGTTGGGCCGATGAGTTGCTATATGTCTTATGGACTTATCGGACGACCCCGAGGGAAGCTACTTTGGAGACCCCTTTCGCCCTGGTTTATGGAGCAGAAGCCCGACTCCCGATCGAGGCTTGGATCCCGACCGATCGAGAGAGAACCTACAATGCCGAGGAGAATGAACATGCTATGGCGGTGGATCTCGATGGGGTCGAAGAAAAAAGAGAGCTAGCCGCTCGGCGCATGGCCGAGTACCAGAAGCGCGTTAAGAGTTCGAAAGACGTTCGAGTCAACCCGCGGTATTTTCAAGTTGGAGACTACGTTCTACGACGAAGGGAGGCCAGTCAACCTCTAGAGGGCGGAAAGCTAGCTCAGAACTGGGAAGGGCCGTACATCATCAGTGCGATCATACGGCCGGGTACATACCGACTGGAGACGACAACTGGTCGGGTAATCGAGGGGACTTGGAATTCCGAGCACCTCGTTATGTTTAGGCATTGAGCCTCTTTTTTGTAATCTTTGGACGAAGAGGGGGCTTGACCTGCGTGTAGGTCCCGGTCGTCGTTTGTAATTAAATTCCTATGTTTGTAAATATTTACTTAACCGCCTGCGAGCGGGAAGGATTAATGTACATACGATCGGTGATTGCTCGACCGTTTGCGCACGGCGGCCCGATCGGTTATTTTCTATACCTTCAGTGCATGCAGGTCAAGCTACACCGACCGGGCGAATCTATCAACCGGTCAGATGCGCTCCACATCGGCGGACATTCGAGTCACGCCATTGATTGGGGAAGCCAGGAGCTCTCAGCATAATTCCCCAATCCGTTCAACTTCTGTCCACTATCGCACACACTCGTGCCTCGAGGGCACAATAGTGTGGGGGCTGGGATAAATGGAGTGTTGATAGGCCCATATCGCTCAGTATATCCTGACCGTGGGGCTTACCTCTTTTCGAAAAATTCGTCAAGACCTGGAGACCGGGTAAACTTGGTCGGGTAGGTCAATATTATGACGAATCTACTTCCAAAAATCGTCAAAGGCCGGGAGATTGGGTAAACTCGGTCGGATTGGCCAATTTTATGACGAAACGTCAGATGTGCGACCAAGCCATAAGGCCTTAAGGTCGGGCGTTGAGCGGGTCGAGTGATGCAAGACCGGGCCAAAAGGCTATGAGGTCAAGCATTAGGGTTCGGCTTGTGCGTGAATAAAAATAAAGATACGGAAAGAGGGACGAGTGATGCAAGCTTAGCGAAATGTGAATTTCATTGATATAATGGAAGGCCCGGTACAAATCGGGACCGGGCTCCCGGTCAGTAGTCCTTTACAAAAAAGAAGAAGAAGAAAAGAAGCCTACTCTACTTCTTCGTTTCCCGAGCCCCAGCAGCCGTTTCCTTCTCGTTCGCGGCGGCCGCAGAGGACCCGCCCTGCTCAGGTGTCTTCTCCTTGGGGCTGAAGGGAGAAGGACCGGGATCAGCCAAGTCCGGGGGCAGCGTCGAGAGAACCAGCTGAAGGTCCTCCCCCTCGAGAGCCTGCTCCATCCGGGTACGAGCCCGCTCGAGCATCTTCCGCTGCCCGGCCTTGAAGGCCCACCGCCCGAATGAGAGGATCAGGTCCTCCCCGACCTTTGTCCCCCGGGCTGCTGTAAGGAAGGCCGAGCCCGAGTTGTTGTCTTTGAAGACCGCCTGCGCCAACTCGCTCGGGTTACCAAGCTGAGCCTTCAGCTGTTTGGCCTCCTCGATTGCCCGATGAGCAACCTTCTCCGCCAGGGCCCGGTCCTCGTCGCTCTTCTTTAAGGCCTTTTGAGCCTTCTCGAGCTCGGCTTGGAGCTCTTTAACCTCCAGAAGGCGACGGGCGGCCGTCTTCTTGTGGTGGTCGGCCTCCTCGGCCAGCATGGCCCGGCCCTGTAGTAGTTGGGCCGCTCGGGAGATCTGCAAAGGCAAAACAGTCGGGGTTAGCCCGGTCGAAGGCACTTGCACAAAATATGGATAGCTAAAAAAGGCTTACCTCGGCCAGATCATAGCCGATCCTCTCGGCTACCTGTGTGGGGGTCATCTTCCCCAGATCTTCTTTGGCCCGCCCCGCATTGCCAATCCGGGCCAATATGGACGAAGCGTCCCTATCTCGCCCGACCGGAGGGCTCGGGCTGTGTTGTTCGCGGCGGCGTTTCATGCCGCCCACCTCCTTCACGCCCTGCTCGGGCACTTTCTCTTTTCCCCGGGCGACTTCCACCCGGGTGATCAGGACGTCGGAGGGCTCGACGATAAAGCCCTCGCCCGTCGTCACGGTCGAGGTACTTAGTGGTCGGGCCGAGGGAATCTCCTTTTCCCCGGCGGGCTTCGCCTTCGTCTTCTTCTTGCCGCCAAGGGAGATCTTGGCGGGCGGGGGAAGGGGGGCCTCTTCATCACCGAACTCTGCCATAGTTGCAAACAAAGAAATCAAGTTAGTGCGATCGAGGCATAAAGGTAAGTCGGGAGGGTTAGCTCGAGTTAAAACCTTTCTTCGTTCGCCTCGATGGTTTGGCGACCGTCACGCCCATCGGCACGGGCAGATATTTCTCCTGTAGCTCGTATGTGGGGGGTGGGAGTTTAGCCGCCTCGAGACTCTCAGCCGTTCGGAAGATTGTATACTCGTGCAGCTCGCTCGAGATCCGACTGACCGTCTCCCTGAGCGCTTGCGTCTCGTCCGGCACCACTTGTTTTCGAAAGTGGGTGCTCCAAGCGCGGTCAACCGGGAGAATCCAGGGGTCGTATTTGAGGGAGAAAATCCTATTCTTCCACCCCCTGTTGTTCCCGGGCAGGCCTCTGATCGCGCACATGTCGGCTCGGGACTGTAGCATCAAGAACCCGCCCCCGTAGCTGCCCGGGAGAACTTTGACTTGGTAGATGAAGTTGAACAGCTCCATCGTGCAGGCGGCTTCATGCCGAGCGCATATCTGCGGAAAGCAGGCGATGATCCGGTGCGCATTGGGGCAGATCTGGGCCGGGACGACCCGATAGTAGGCCAAGAAGGCGTTCAGGAGGGGGGTGAAGGGAATGGCGATCGGGGCCATCAGGGAGTCGTAGTGCATCCCGATCCATTTGCCCCGATGCCGATCGATGACATTCCCTAGCTTCCGGCTCGTGTCGAATTCCACCCGACCTACGAGCCTTTCAGCAATCCTAGCCGCCTCGCCTGTGGTCAATCGGCTCATTTGTTGTTCGACATTCTCGCTGTTCAAGAATTCGAACTCCGCTGTGGCTGGTGCGGCCGGCCCGGCCGTGTCTTCCTCGGCTTGCTCGGGGGTGTTTTCCCGGTCGCTTCCTCGAGCAACGGCTTCCGGGTGGTCCCCAACCACCCGGGTTGGCGTTTCCCTAGCGCCTTCGGTCGGAGACCCTTGTCTCCCCGACGTGGTTCCTTCCTCTTCTTCTTCTTCGCCGGAGCTCCCCGATCCGCTTGAGCTAGAGCTCGACGACCCGGATGAGCTGGACGACGTGTCTTGTGCGGCGGCCTGCTCGGGGGCTGGCGCCGGTCGGTAGATAGCTTCGGGGGAGTAGGACATGATGTCCACCTCCTCGTCACTGAGGTGCTCGACCTCCTCGTCATAATCCGCGATTGATGCGTTTTGACTGTCAGAGTCCGTCATTTCGATCTACCTAAAGGTCGGTCGGGGTTAGTAGAGGACTTTGAATGTCCGGGACAGTTAGCTGACCTAGAAGTTCTACCTAAAATGGAAGCATAAAGGAAAGAGAAGGGTTGAGAACTTACCGAATGAGGGAACTTCGCGGATGAAAGCTTGAAAGTCCTTACTCGACTGCCTTGCAAAGGTGCTCTGCTCGGGACTCTCTGAGGGTACCGGTTGGAGCGAAAGAGTGAGGAAAGTTCAAATGGGGGCCTCAAGGGCCTATTTATAGGAGGGCATTTAGGCGGGAAAGTCGTCCACTTGCGCGACACGACCAGCGCTGATTCCGAGGCAACGGTTGCAGTCGCAGAGGCCGGCAGTGGCCGACACGTGGCGAAGAAGGGAATGACAGCTGGCCGGTCGGTTTAGCGGCCGACGGTTGGGTTTCTTCATCCCGGCCCATTTTTTCCCGGACGATCAAAAAGGCCCGGGCTGGGGGGCTCTTGGTAGGGAATATCCCGACCGACATAGCTTCACCACGACCGAGAAGCCTTTGTCCTTTTCTCTTTGTCTTTGCAGGTAACAGGTCGGGCTCCTTGAGAAGAACCCGGTCGGGGGCCGACCGGGAGTTGCCCGAGCGACGGTGTCGACTGCCGAGCGGTAGCCCTTTGGCGAGAGAGCTGACGAAAGACACGTGGCGATTCTCTACGACGACAGACAGGGCACCCGGGAGGGCGACACGTGGTGGCTACGTGGAGGGCATGCCGAACGGCTGGAATCCTGTCCCCGGCATAGCGGCTATAAATTCCCACAGTAGCTACAGTGTAGGGGACTTTTGGACGATCGATAGGTTGTTGTTAGAGAATCCCGACCGCAGTCAGTCGGCACTCAGAGCAACCAAGTAGATTGTACTTAGGGCCTTTACCGTGATCAATAAAGATATTTACTTGCTTTAATTGGTCTCGTGTTGTTATATATTGCTTACGCATAATTAGCAGTATCATAATTGTATAGGTATGGTTGAAACCAAAATACGGAACATAAGGGGGTGCAAATAAAAAGTAGGGCATAAAATATTAATATACTAATATTGAAGAGCTAACTGTTGATTGCCAAACAAAGATATTGCGAGATAGTTTCCCACTTCAAAGTTGTTGTGTGATTTGAATACTCTTTTTATTTATAAATTCTCCAAGTAGTTAATATGATTGGCTTAATTATATTTTTTTTTATTTTTTAAAACATAATAATAATAATAATAATAATAATTATTATTATTATTATTATTATTATTATTATTATTATTAAATATATGTATACCCTTAGGTCATTTTACATGTTAATCTAAACAACTAATTTTTTCAAATATCTTTTTACCAACCGTTGATATATTTCGCTGGTCAAATTCGCAAATATAATCTGCCTGCTGATTATCAAACAAGGACATTGCGAGGTTGTTCTCACTTTAATTTGTTGTGTGATTTGAATACTCTCTTTGTCAACAAATCCCTCAAGTAGATAATATGATTGACTTTATTAATTATATTTTTTAAATTTTTTCATGGTATTAATAAAATACTTGGTAAATAAATATATAGCATTATTTTGTATTATAACTTTGATATTTAATTAAAAAATAGTGCACAAAAAATATAATAGACAATGTATTGAATATAATCAATTAATGAATTTGAATGTAAAGAACTTTTACATTGGAGAAATATAAAGACAATATAACTAATAAAATTATTTCTCTTAATTAATTTATTGATAATGAATATTTTTTTTTTAAATAAAACATTGTAGGGACAATGTAGTGAATATAATCAATCGATGAATTTGAATGTAAAGAATTTTTATATTGGAGAAAAATAAATACTATATAGCTAATGAAATTATTTCTCTTATTTAATTTATTGATAATAAATCATTCTTTTGAATAAAGACATTGTAGACACATAATTCTAAATTAAAGAAATGTATATATATTATTTTTTGTTGTAGCTACTAAATTATTATTTTAATTTAAAGAGTAAAATAGAGTATTAATTTTGCCAACTTTTATTAGAATGTGATTCGAACCTAAGACCTTTATTATTGAAATCATATCAATGAGTAAGTTAACAATGAACTAACAGAAATTAACATAAAAGATAATATTTAACGGAAAAGTTAACGGATAATCATATTCATTAAGGATAAATTAGGAAATTTTAAGGAAAAATTAAAATCTGATCAATCTGAGCCATTTATTTGATTAAAAAAATTGACCGCCATTTTTTCTACCCATTATAGGCCTAACTCTCTTGGGCTCTTATTAGTATAGTAGATAGATAGTAGATATACTCAGTAAGCCCCCCTGCTTGGTAACATAGTTAATTTATTAGTTAATTTTGACTTGTTTGACCACTATTAGTTATTTAACTTGATTAAACCGTTAATATGAGTGTTTGGTTAATCAAATTTGTTGTAACAGTTTATTGTTTCAAAACGTTAAAATTTAAAAAGCTACTCAAAACAGTTTTTTTGATCAGCTTTCTAAGAAAAAGAATTATAATGTAATTGGCTATCAACTAATAGTTAATTTGTCAAACAACTTTTTACAATCAGTTAATGCTATCAACTAATTAAATTCACTAAATCAATTAACTACCAACTATCAGCTAACAATTATTTGTTAAACACCCCTTAAATAAATAAAAAAAATCGTACAATTAAAATATTTTCACGAGTAAAAATATTAATTTAATTATTTTTCAATTCAAGCGATAAAGAAATATTTTATTTGGGAAAGTGAAGGATGCCTAACATTACTAAGTATTTATTCATCACCCGCTGCATGCAGATATTCATTTTATTATGATAATAATTCATTCTATAAATGATAAATTAATTATAAATAAATATAAACAAGTTCTTTAAAAAAAAAAAGTAATTATAAATACAAATTATATGTTAAATTTAATTAAACTTGTTAGACAACGAAATTGGATTCCAAATCATCTTTTTAGTATTTCATCGGTCATGATTGAGATATGACTTATGGGCACGTGGCTAACATTTTAAAGGATTGAAAGTAAAAAACATATTAATGTTATTGTCGCATTCAAAAATATTAATGTTATTGTCAAACAGTAAATGAAATTCAAGCGTAGAAAATAATAACAAATAAAGTGAAATTCTTAAAAAGATTGATGGAGAATGAAAAAGAGGGAGAAGCTCAGCGGGAGGGATATTAAAAAAAAAATGGCAAATTTATAATTTGATTAAAAATTGAGGGAAATTGGAGGTGTCATTTTTGAAGGGCAAATGACGACTCTCAATTATTAGTATAGGGAAGAAATAAAATTTGAGCATAGAGAATAATACGAGTAACAAATAAAGTGAAATTCTTAGAAGGATTGATGAAGAATGAGAAAGAGGGAAAAGATCAGCGGGAGGGATATCCAAACAAAAAAAAAAAAAGAATAGTAAACTTGTAATTTGATTAAAAATTGAGGACAATTGAGAAAAAAATAAATCTAAATGTTAGATAAAATATTTTTAACCACAAGAATTGAGATCAATGGTTAATATATGTGCCATTTTTTAGGAGCAAGTGGCAACTCTCAATTATATTAGTATATGGAAGAAATGAAATTCGAGCATAGAGAATAATAACAAATAAAGTGAAATTCTTAAAAGAATTGATGAATAATGAGAAAGAGGGATATAAGATCAGCAGGAGGGATATCCAAACAACAAAAGAATAGCAAACTTGTAATTTGATTAAAAATTGAAAGCAATTGAGAGAAAAATAAATTTAAATGTAGATTAAAAAATTTCAACAACAAGATTTGAGATCTCTTCTATTTTCCCAATCGGTATCCAGGGTGACTAAGAAACATAGACCTTTGTCCCGCTGATCTTAACACTTCCTGATATTTTTGGCATTTCTCCTAAAATGCAAGTTAGCAAACTTGACTTTAATTTATAGCGTGTACGTGAAAATGAAGTTTTCTCAATTTTATGTTGTTTACTTGTTTAATATGTTTTTCTCCCGTCTTTCAACATGTTTTAATGTTTTGTAAGAGTGTAACATCTTTCGCTTACTTTATTACCATATATCAAGATCTATCTTATTTTATATTTTTATTCATATTTCAAGCTTAACCCCTCTTTTTTATAGAATACCAAAAAAAAAAAAAAAAAAAAAAAAAAAATCCCAATTCTATCCAAATATTCTTCATCATGCATTTGTGTCCACATATATCCATGTTTTAATTATATACTAGTATTTGTCCCGTGCGATGCACGAAAAATATGTTATAAAAATATACCCTATATGAGATTTATTCATATATAAAATTTTTGTTATTTAATAATTATTATGTGTGAATTCCTATGATAAAATTATGAACATAAATATATTTACAATTAAAATAATATTTAAGGTGGGTGATTACTACAAATCTTAAACTATATTAAAAATTTAGTACATAGTATTTAATATTACAAATTTTTAAGAATTTAGTAAACTACAATAGTAATTGAATTACAATTTTAGAGTCACCACGGATCACAATTTTTAGACCTTTGAGATTTCTAACTCTAGATGTAGCAACATACAATTGACCTTTAAAGACCAAAATCATAATCTTAGTTCGAACATTGATTTTTTCTTCCAAATACTATCGAATTAAGTGTGTAATCAATAAAAGATGAGAACTAATAATTCGAGAATATAATCTTAATGTTACTAAGCCTACTTCACGTCAATTAAGTTGGAGAGTGTTGTTGGATAGTATCCGATGAATCCACGAATAACGCATCTTTGTCTCCGTAGTCCTCAATATGCACATCAACAATCTTAAATATTAGGCCGCCTAGCTATGCCATATATTAATTTCAAACTTATGAACTTTGGGGTTGCGTGCAATAAAAAGTATATTTTAAATATACTAAGGGTACATTATATATGTATGTAAGGTACTTTCAATATAAAAATAATGTATTTTTAATATATTAAAAATGTATTTGATATA